GCCGAGCAGGGAGCCCGATGCGGGACTCGATCCCGGCACTCCAGAATCATGACCCGAGCCGAAGGCAGTCGCCTAACCAACTGAGCCACCCAGGCGCCCAGTTTCTAACTTCTTTTAACAAGTTATCCTGTATGATGTCCTTCTTACCTGATAGTTCAACAATAGTTCAAAGGATGGGCTTTTGAGAGACATTTCTTGGCTTCAAATCCTGGTCCCATCATCTATTTAGCTGAGTGACTTTTTTAAAATTATCAGCCTAAGATCAAAATTATGCCTTCTTCCTTAATGAAATAAGGTATGTGACTCACATGACACATCATGTTTAATAAACATTAATAATAATTATTATTATTGGCAGTTGAAACAGAGAATAGACAGTGGCTCTACTCTGCATATTGCCCAGGAAAGTGGAGGTGTCTTCCTATCCAGAGTTTTCATCAAACCAAGAGTCGGTATACCGTAAGACTGCAGATTTGGGGGGAAAACTGTCGGAATTATATAAAGCATTAAAGGCTATTTGAAACACATTACTCTTTTATAGTAATGTTAATAGGAAGCAAATACCATTGAGATTTTATCCACTTATTTATTTTAGGGTATAAACAAAACTGAACTTCAAGGTATAAACTACAGTTAAGGATGGTATAACTACATTGCTGGTATAAATAGTAATAACAATAATGATGATGTTCAATGATTCTTAATTTCTTCACATGGCTTGTCATATTCTCCCCAATCTAGCCCCATCCTACCTCCCAGCCTTATCTATCTTAAATTCCAGGCTCCAATCACTCCAAACCACTCTGCTTCCTTTGGATACATTGGACTTCCAGAAGTCTGTGCTATTTGCTTGTTCCAGCAAGGCTCCTTTCAATGGAGGAAATCCTCTTCCTTCTTCAAATACCAGCTCAAATGCTACACCTGCTATGTAACTTTTTTTAGTTCTTAACCTTGAATGAACCTTCCCTTTTCTCTGCCATTCAATAGCACACTAATGATGTTACTGCCATATGACTCCATTTATACTATCTTGTATTGTAGGTATTTGTAAACATACCCATTTTTCCCACTAGACTAAACTCTTTGAAGGCAGGGACCATGTGTTCTTCGCTTGAACTTGGTTGTTAAGTTCTAGTTCAATCTCATTATCTACAGGGAATACTTTGGTATCTGCAAAGAACCTCCCAAAGAAAAGGCCAACTAGCTCAAAATATATGCACTCTTGCAATCTTTAACTAAAACTTAAGTCATTAGGTGAAACTTTCTTGAAAAGCTATACTTAACACAAGCAAGACACTGTGGTTTTTTGCACCTTCCCACTGGCTTTCTATACTGAACTGTTGTCTATAAATTAAAGTCAAGAGATATCTCACTTGAGTAAAAGACCACAAAAACTGGGGGTTCAAAAGATTGGGGTGAGGAAATGAACCTTGAAAATCTGGCCACATCTTTCTAATTGTCCTCCTCTAGCTCCTGTTTCACGACCAGATCCAATCCAAAGCACCATGCTCTGGTCTGTCTTGGTAGTTTCAGACCTCAACCAACACACACCCTCACCTCAGTCCCTTCAGAGTCACAGCCAGAAGTTGGGAGAGATTCCTAGCGTCCTTCCCCTTATCACCTGTCCTTCCCCAGATTCATCCGATTGATATGAAGGGTCCTTGTTCCCCCACTCGCCTACACACAAAAGGGAAGCAACAGAGAAGGATGTTCTTAATGGAGCTAAAATTATGAATTGTCCCAAATGTTCAGGTTGAACTATTTTATTATGTAATTTCCATTTCCCAGGGCCTTAAAAAAAAAAAAAAACTTATTTCTAGCAATGATATCAGTACTAACCCTGCTAGTGACATGTTATTTAAAAGAAGGTGTGATCATGTAATGAATATCGATACTTTCACTTCGGAATCTTCCCCAGCTTCCTCAATCTTCTGCCTGAACCAGCCAGAACCATTTCTCAGAGCTAAAACAAACCTGAATCTAAGAAACTGTCAGGACATACCAAATTAACACAATTTGATGGAACAACTAAATAACCTACTGGCAGGGAGGATCCATCTGCAATCTGAACTACTATACAGATAATTCGAGATTAAAAAAAAGAAATACACCCAAACTAATTGTGACCCAGGAAATTGATCCCAAAAGTGTTATATTAAATAACTTACTGTATAAGTATATTATTTAGTGTAAATCCCGCCTAAACAGCCCGGATGCATTGACCTGTGCTGAATTAGAACTGGCAACCGAAGAAGCATTGATTTGGTTTTGATGACCAAGTTTTTAAATAGTTGTCAGCTCTTTCCAAAGCCTCTGGCGCTGCTGAAGCCAGAGTAGGTTACCCGGGGCGAGCCACAGATGGAGCGGTAAGCACCAAGTCCTCCCAAGTTCCCGCTCGGTGTCCCGGCGGCCGAGGTGCCCGTACCTCCCGCGGCGGTCGCCCGGACTGACCCGGTGGTGCTGAACCTGGCGCGGCGGCGTGGACTCCGCCAACCCGCGCGCCGCCTTCCTCCCAGCCCCGGAGCACCCGGGGGCGGCGGCGTGCACCAGCGCCCCGGCGGGGTACCTGGAGGCCTCGCTGCCCTCTGAGAAACAGGGGGCCACCTGGTCGCATTCCCCCCAGCCCCCGCTCTGCCACCAGCAGCTGTCTCGGGAGTTCCGGGACAGACCGCGGCCCTGAGCCCGGTCCGTAGGCACCGTCCTTCCTCCAGGACCCTTTTCTGGCGGTCTTTCTATCTCTGTCTCTGTCTTCCACCTCCGTGCAAAATGCGACCCTCAGATTGCTGGGGAAACTTGGCCACCGCGGAGAAGCACCCCATCCGCAGGGGCGGGTATCAAGGGCCGGGCGCACCGAGGACACTCAGCCCCCGGCACACACCCCAAACCAGAAAGCTGTTCCAAAGTGCTTGGCCGCGGGTGACAGCGTCGCCGCCGCCGCCTCCTGCTGCCCCGAGCCAGAGGAGTTACTTCTCGCCTCTGGGAGGCGAGGCAGCGCGGGCGGCCGCCGAGCACCCTCCCGCGAGCTCTGGCCCTTTACCTGGGTAGCGGCCTCGGGGCGCAGAGCCCCGGGCGAGCCGGGCTGGTGGTGCGGTGAGGACCGCGGCCGCCGCTCTCGCCTGCTGCTTCGGGCCGGCCGGGCGGTATTTATCCGGGGGCCCAGGCCCCTGCGGGAGTACTGGGCAATCGGTCCCGCTACGCGCGGCCCCGGGAGCCGCCGCCCTCTGCCCTCGCCGAGCCCTGCGGCGGCGGCGGCGGCCGCGTGCAGGGAGAGAGGAAGCCGGCCCCCTCCTCTGGGCTCCACCTTCTGTTTCTCCGCCTCCTTCTTCCCGGCAAGTTCTTCCCCGCTGTTTGGCCCCTGTCCCTCTCCTTTGCGGGGCACCCTGGCCAGTCTGAACCGGTTGTGACTGCGCGGGTGGCTGGGGGAAGGAGGAGGAGGCGGAGGAGATGGAGGCGGAAAAGCGGGCGGTAGGGGCGCTGCTCCAGCTCTCTCGTCTCCGGCCCGGCTCGGGCCGGCCAGGAGGAGAGAGGGCACCGCCGGGACCGCGGCCCCCGCCCGGCCCGGGGCCACCAAGGCCTCGGGAGCGCCTGGCACCGCCGGCCAGGCGCCCTGTCGGTGCGCACACGCGCGCGTCCCCCGGCGCCTCTGAGCCCCCGCCGCCTCTGAGCCCCCGCCGCCCTCCGCGTGCCCGCAGCGGCTCGCCAAAGACCCAGTGCATTCGGGGGAAGCCGGGGTCTAGGGATGAGGGCGAGTGGCCCCGGGTCTCCCAGGCTCCTGGGGCCGCCGGGCGCCCTCCTGGCCGGAGCTGTATACCCAGCTGGCAGTGATCCCAGAGAACCGGGCACCAGAACTTTGTGGAGCCGGTGCTCCTGGGCAGTGAGGAGTGAGGATGCCAAGAGCTGTCCTTTGTGACAGCTCCATGGGAAAGGAGGGCGACCCGCAGTGCACACAGCGTGCTGGGAGAGAGGGGGCATCTAAGTACGAGTTCAGGCCGTCGGGCAGGTGCACCGCACTGACAGTACGCTCCGATCTTTGGCTGGAAGATAGTGGGCATGGGAGCTGAACTGGATGTGTGCTCTGTCCCCACAGAGAGTCACTGCAGCAGACTGGGGATGGTTCCTAGGAATCCAGGGAGTCCCTGGGTGAGGGGACCCCCTAAAGTGATATGCATTTTCAGTGTATGCATATTTCTGGGAAGAGGCACCATACCTTCTACCAGCTTCTCAAAGAGGCCCGGGGCCACCACCCATTACGGGGCTGAGAATTCCCTTTATAGCCTGAAGCCTCTGGTTCTGACCTAGACACAGGCACCACACTTTGCAAAGGTTCGTTTTCTGAAATCCAGATTAAGCTGCCTCACCTTGCTGAGCCTCTGTTTTCTCATCTTGGCTGCATGGTGCAGTCTACCTGAAATGAGAGCTCCAAAAATCCTGAGGACTTTGACCATACATATCAAGTTGTCATACAGATATGAAAACAGTGGTTCATCCCTTTTGCCCCACACCATTCCTTTCCACCCAATTTACTGACTTTCGGGTTATGGGGAAAAGAATGGCCAGTGCTAGTTGATATTTCGTATTTTGTTTTGTCCTGAGAAGGAGAAAGATTGGGGGCGGGGAATGAAGTAACAGTGAGAATGAGAGGGAGGTGGTCCCAGGAATGGTTCTGGAAGGGAACATAGAGAGGTGATGCTGTCAACACCATCAAAAATGTATTTCTGAGAAGGAGAGAGCATAGAATAAGGGCTTATCACTCTGTGCTATTTTTGAGCTCGTTTGTGGTTACTCAATGTGTTCACGTTATAAGAATGCATTGACCTGCCCACTGATAGCGTGTGTACTTTTCTCCATATATTTTGATAAAAGATATTTTAGAAAGTTTTTTCTTTGATTCAAATACCCTCTAACCACCAAAGCAAGTGTCATCTTGATAGTTAGTTGGTTGAACAAATCCATGTATATAAAATTATATTTTGAGGACAAGGAAACCCTGCTTGAAAAATATTTGTGTTCCCCAATTGGTTTCTGAAGGTGCCTTGTCCCTGTTTTCATCTCCACCAAGTTTTCCCAGATTTTTTTAAAGATTTAATTATTTATTTTTACAGAGAGAGCACCAGCAGGAGGGGCAGAGGGAGAGGGAGAGAATTCCAAGCAGACCCTGTGCTGAGCACGGAGCCTGAAGCAGGGCTCGATCCCAGAACCCTGAGATCATGACCAAGAGTCGGTCGCTTAACCACCCAGGTGCCCCTCCCAGATTTCTTTTACAGAGAGTTTATGACCAGCACTCCCATGTCTGCTCAGGCCAGTCTGCACCGATCCACTAAGAACTGAAAATGAGCTCATTCTTACACACGGGAGCGTGGTCCCGACGTTAGCGTAAGACTGGATCCCAGGGGTCAAAAACTCAAAGGGCTGGGGGTCCAGACTCATACTGCAATGAATGGAGTGGGCAGAGGCAGCCCGGAGGACTTACGGAGTGTGGAAGGTGGCTCTGGGAGCCGTGGCCGCTGCCTTAGGGAATTGCTGCCGTTGCTAGAATGTGAGAATTGCACCACCCCTGTGAAGGTTCATTGTTCAATCACACCTCAGCAGAGCAATCAGACGTGCGGGAGAACTCAAGAAATCTAGTCCAACCCTGACACTTTACCCACGAGTGGAATTTGACCCAGAGAAGCTAGGAATGTTCTGATCACACACCCTCTCCCACTGCCCCCCACAGTGCAGAGGGGCTGGAGAGCAGGTTGGTGGAGACAGGACCGAAACCACCTCCCTACCATCTGGAATTTTTGTCCCCAATGACTGGAAGATGCAAGATTTGCGAACGAGGTGAGGGTCAGATAAGTTTCAGTATTGCTGGCTTTACAGCTCTGTGCAGCCCTTGCCCTTTGGGCCTCTCTTGGGCCCAAAAGCGTATGTACTTGCAAGATAGAGTGAGAGAAAAAGACAGGTCATCAAATAAGCTGGATTTAATAAAACTCCCTTGGGAAGAATGAACGCTGAATGTGCATTTAAAAAAAAATTGGTACAGAAGTGATGCCCTGGACGAAGAAGTTGGTCCTTTGCCTTGTATTATTTTTATTGTTTGGGGCATTTATTAAGAAGTTTGTGATTTGTGAGATATGCTAAAGCCCACGCCCCCTTAGACCTTTGCTGATTCAATCTTTTAGAGAAAAGACAGAGAAATTAACCTGAAATTGCTCGGCAGACCTCACGCCAGCCAGGAAACCAGAAACATGGAGGGCAGATGAAGGCAAAAGTTGGCCAGGGGAGGGTGGGACATTTGCACAGACCTGAGTCACCCGTCCAGTGCCTGCCCAGCTGAGCAGACTTTCCTTCCTGACTTACTACACCAGGACATGTTTCTTTTGTACACGCTGCTCTTCCCCTGTTTATGAATGACGGCATAGCTACATAGACACTACACTTGAAAATAAAAATAAAGAAAATAGAACTTAGAGTTTTTATAGCAGTTGGCTCAGATCTAGAGATCCATTCTATGAATTCCATTTCATTCACTCACACTTTAACAGATAAAAAAAAAACAACAAAAAACTAGAGGTGGATAAGCCATTCTCTCACATACTTAGAGATTTGTTTAGAAGGACAAAGTTTCAAATGTTAAAAATGACCTTAAAAACATACTACATCGTATTTTTACTTGTAATTCTCCAGAATATTTTTTCTTGCCTTTACTTTCATCACATTATTGGGCTCAAGCGGTTTTTAATCTTAGGGGAAAGGAAAAGAGGGATAAATGCTATTCTTTGAGTGCCTGGTAATTGCCAAGAACTATGCAATCTCATGGGGTTACGTATTGTTATCTTCATTTTACAGAAGAGAAAACTGGAATTCAGAGGTTAAGTTACTTACTTGGTTGATAAGTAATGGAGTAGGACTCAGGCTCTGGTCTGGCTGGTTGCTAAGCCTGTGCCCTCCCCACTCTACCTTAGGAAAATGATCCAAGGCTGGTAAGAGCTAACACTGAGGACTGCCAGCTCACTAAGCTTACTACAACCCACCATAAACCTAAGAAGTAGGTGCTATTATAATCATCCACTTTGGCTGCTAATGAAAATGAACTAGAGAGAAGTTAAGCAGTTTGCCCCCAGTCCACAGTTAATGACAGGTAGGCTGGAGTTTTGATCTAGGCATCGTGCTCTGAACCACTACTCTACATCCTCATGAAAGTGGAAACCAGAAACACAAAACTACATAGAATGTGCGTCCTTCAGTGTGTGTGTGTGTGTGCATGTGTGCGTACACATATATACACTTTCCACTTCACATCCTTCTGACTTGCATTGCACGGTTTCAAGACCATAAGCAAAATAATTACATTTTTGTGTGTATCAGTTTCCAAAGCACCCAGCATATATCTACATGTAGGACTCCCAACATCTATAATGTCCTCGTTGTTTGCACAGAGAAACTGTAAAATCCTGAAAGCTGGTACCTGGTCTCCTGGTCATCACTGCTCCCTAGAGCACAGTGACAGGAATAATAGGGTAGCTCTTTGCTTAATGAACTTTGGTTGAATGAATGAATGGCCAAATAGCAATGAATGCATGAAAGCATGCTCAAACTGTTAGTGACTTTTGCTGCAACAGTGGTCTTACTCTGCCACGCTCTATTATTTTTTTTAACTGAAGAACAGTTGACATGCAATATTGTATTAGTTTCAGGCTAGTGATTCAGTATTTATACGCATTATGAAAGGGTCACCACAGTAAGTCTAGTTACTGTCTGTCACTATATGAAGATGTTACAATATTGTAACAAATGTGCTGTACATTATATCCCCATGTCTTATTTATTTTATAACTGGAAGATTGCACTTCTGAATCCCCTTCACCTATTTCGTCCACCACCCACCTCCCCTCTGGCAACCATCAGTTTGTTCTTTGTATCTATGAGTCTGTTACTGTTTTGTTTTGTCTGTTTTGTTTTTAGAGTCCACATATAAGCCAAGTCATATGGTATTTGTTTTTTTTCCATATAACTTCTTTCACTTAGCACAATACCCTCTGGTTTTTTCCATGCGGTCACAAATGGCAAGATCTCATTCTTTTTTATGGCTTGGTAGTATTCCATTGTGTATATATACCTCATCTTCTTGATCCATTCATCTATCGATGGACACTTAGGTTACCTCTATAGCTTGGCTACTGTAAATAATACTGTGATGAACACAGGGATATGTATATTTTTTTCA